GTCAAGTGAGAGAGAAGTGCATGAGTGGTATTTAGACTCCTTTAACCGAGTACTGGAACAAGTACTACTAATTGACGTTAGTATTTTCTGTCTACTTATGCTGATCAGTGCTGAGCATCGGTTTATTCCTAGTCTGGAAGTGTTCAGCAGTGTGCTCACTCACAAGCCAATCAGTGATTGGACGCACAACCCTCACGTTATTAGACTGACTGCCTTGTTGACATTTCTGTGACTTTGACTGAAATTCACTGTCCTATGAAGTCCATTTTGAAATTAATCCAAATTCATATAAAAAGCAGAATATAAATGTCAGTCTCTGGTTTGTCAGTGGCTACTGGATGTATACATTCTGAAGTTTATTGAGAATTTTGATTTTCTCCTGTGAAGTGTAAGATGATGATGCTACAGGACTGGAATACATCGACTCCTAGCTTAAAGATCGACAGGAGTGAAGTGGTAGAGAATGTTGGCCACTTCACTTACTTCGAAAGTTGCGTCGGCCCCCCGTGTTGATCGCTGACGAAATCTCAGCGTGGATACATAAAGCTCGCTTGGCATTCGCCAACTTACTCCATCTCTGGAGCAGACTTAATATGCAGCTGCCGATCAGAGGAGCCGTGTATTGTGCAGCAGTTCTCTCTGTCCTCCTTTATGGCTTTTACACATGGCCATTGAAAGGGGAAGAAATGAAAAGGCTGGCTAGCTGGCTGTCTTTGATCATAAGTGTCAGCATCCTGTCTTCCATGTTAGGTGGTATAATATGGTGAGTAATATTGAGGTTAGGCTGGGAGTGTTAGGTGAGGAGGAGAAATCAATCAATCAATGAAGTTGAGAAGTTATATCGGATAAGATGGTTAGGACATGTGTTACGCGTGCATCGCTAGCCATCCATCGCCTTCCTCAACAGGAAATGTTACCTGACATGGGATCAGGTTGAAAAAGAATCAGTTCATGAAATCTAAGCCAATTAAAGGGGTGTACACTTCTTGGTTGGAGTCCTCAGGACAGTAAGAAACAATGGCTGGAGACAACTCGTGGCATGGCTCAAAATCGTTCATAATGGCTAGGGCAGAAACATTCCCTGTCTGTGATCTCTCATATCCAATAAATATAATCGTGTTTTTCCAGGCTACTATTCTTTCACTCTCACATTTCAGTTTGTGTCTAAATAGAGTGGGATAAATGGAAATGCTGCACTTCTATTCAGAGTTCTGAGTTGAAACCTGTCAGTCAGTCAAATTAATTAGAAAGGATGGTCAGTGGATTCCACCATCTCAAGGTGAAGTGAATTCTAATCGATGGTAGTGATTGTCAGTAGATCCATATCACGAATTATGAGAATTTAGAATTTGCAGATATTTTGAATTCCCGCTCAAGTGGCAAAACGTTCAGTAAGACGGCTTTTAAACCTGGGGGTTCTGGGTTTGGTCCCTAATGAAGTCGTGGGGACACCACACTACTGAGAAGTCTCAAACTATGACGAAGCAGCCATCCAGTGCCCCCTGGTTTTCAGTGATTTTCTATCTATCTGATATCGGTTTGTGATGAAATCCACACTAAGATTAATCCTTATCCCCACAAATCCCCTAAATAATCAGCACTTACGACTAACAAAACTTAATCTTGGTATTTATGACTAATTCATTCGCTCGTGTGGAGCTAGGTATGTCAGCCGTACCCAGCGTTTTCTATGCAAACGTATCATCGAACACTTACCCACGGTCATGGTTTTAGAAAGGAGAAAAAAAGCTCCCTCCTCCCAAAACTTTATTCTGGAACACCTGATCGAATCAGGACACCACGCAAACCCACGAAGTAACTTCAAAGTCATCTACAGAATACGTGGGAATCTTGCTAAAAGCGTACGAATCAAACTTCTTCAAACCGCATAAGCAATGGTGATTCATATGATAAAACCTGAACTCTGCATAAAAAAGAAGTTTGTTCAGTCATTGAATCTACAGGGAACCTGGCCGACATCAAATACGTAACTTTGTTTCGTCTTTCTCCTGTTTGTTCGTTTCTTAATTGTTTGAGATTTTCTTCCCCCATTCCTTATTAAATCTCTACTGCTTACTGTCACTGTTGTTGACTTGAATTTTGTTCAGTTTTAATTTTATCTGAGCTCTACTCAACCCCATCAATTAGATTACGTCACCCAACATGCTTATTTAGTCTTACTTTAGTTTTTAAACCATTAACAAAATTTATTACCTAAAATTTACAATTCTAAAAATTTTATTTTATTCTCATTTTATTTGAGTTTCTACCCAATTACCGTTTTCTACATTACATAATTTATTATCTGAAATTTACAATTCTAATGAAAAATCTTTGAAATATTCATTTTGTTGCTAAGATGACTAACTACATACACGCGATTGTATTAGTTTGAGAATGTTGTCGCCGGAAAGAGTAACTCTTTATTTTTGATTGGACACTAGTCAGTAACTAGTGTAATGTGTCTAGTCCCATTTTCGGTGCAGACTGAATTCTATTAGTCAAGCTTGCAATAAGGCCACCATGCTAGGTGGTTCGCCTGACTGCAGCACGGGTGACGCGGGTTTGTATCTCAGAAGGGACATAAGTTCCCTTGAGGCTGCAGATACGCCTTGCTGATTGTTGTGAGTGCCAACTTGCACGAAACCTATGTCAAGTGTGGCTTCCTGCCAATCGCCTCCAAACATCCAATACCAACAAAAGTAACCCTTCTCACTGACGTTTTTCTCTTTTGTATTTACGATTTGTCGTCTGAATTCTTTATTTACAATATGATGCATAATTTCCTTCCATTTGGACGGATTGTTAACAAAGTCAAATGAAACCCTGCTGAAAATGTTTGTAATAATCAAAGTTGATCAACATTTATATGGGCAATAAAAGAAAGACTGAAAATACTTAACACATTTTCTTTTCCGAAACAGACAAGAAAACTTAATCTACCGTTATTTGATTGATAATCAATAAAGCTGGAATCTTGAGAGCGTATTTATCCTTGCTCTTTAGTGACTGATTTTCGCTTTAAAATTTGAAATAATCATTTGTTCTTGAAAAAAAGGCATTTTTTAAGCTTGTATCATTTCATAAGTTATTCCTACTTGTTATTTCATGTCATTCATTTGAGTTTCATGAATAAATGTCTGCATGTTGTCGCCAAACTGAAGTGTAAATATGCTAAACTGAAGTGATGTTTGGAGTCATGTGAATATGAAGACTCTGCATCTTTGATTAGAAACTAGTAATTAATGTGGCGTGTCTAGTCCCTTGTTTGGTGTAGACTGAAATCTATCAGTCAGTTAGCTTTGCAACGTGGCCACTATTCTAAGTGGCTCGCCATCACGGTGCACATTGATTTGATGATATTAGGGGGTTGGTGGCAATCGGCAGGAAGCCTTGGACCTAGGGATATCACATTAGTCCTACAGTCCTACAGGAGGTCAACCACGAGCCAGCCCGAATAGCTCAGTGGTAACTTCTCTGAATTCAACACTGAGTGAAGCGGATTCGAGTCTCAGAAAGAAGGTTGCAGATACACCTTACTGAGGAGTGCCAATCGGAACGAAACCTAGATCCAAGGCTTCCTATGGCCGATTGCCTGAAACCATCTAATAAGACTTTATCTCTATCTACAGACTGCTAGAAGGTGTACCAGGATGTAGAATTTTTAGCGTCTCTTTTTTCTACCTCCCCTTAACGAGAATGACGATGTAGTCTAGCTAGTTTGCTGGTCGTCTGGGAGAAAACGCTTACTGCAGTTTCATCTTTATTCACCCTCAGACAATTAAAATAGTATGAGCGATTTCTACAATGAAAATAACTGCTTTTATTCTAACTGCCATTCAGACGACATTCCTGGCATACTAGGATGTAAGGGAACCCTCATTTGACCCAGTGTAGCTCATTGAGTCATGGCGATATGCAATCCATATAAACACGCCTGGGTAAAAGCTCCTGGTTGAGAATGGAGGTGAATCCAGTTGATGAATGTTGTACGGATCAAAATTTACTTTCTGGATTCATTACTATCATTATTGCTGTTCCCTTCGGTTCCGAATGGAACATATGGCTTCAGAAACACGTCCCCACTACTTTTCCATTTTCAGTTGTACTCTCCTCACACTATCTCCTCCAAGTCACTCTCACACCAAAGACCCACTCAGCATTTTCCATTCAGGTTCCAATGGAGAGGTGGTCTGTTGTGGGATTTCATTCGACGGTCTCTTCAGCGTATGCCTAATCCATCTGCATTTTCCTTGGCACATTTGCTGAGCAATCGGCTTTTGGTTAGTGTGTTCCCAAAGTTTCTTGCCTCTGATTCTTTCTGGCAGGTGATCTGATCTTCAGCAGACAGCCATCAAAGGCAGCTGTCAATTGAAATCTTGTTTAACCTGTTAGAAATGCTGTTCGTGAGACATGCGTCAATTTTGTAACCCGTAAAAAAGAACTGTCTGACTTCGCATTGATGTTGAAAATCCGAATCTTGTTCTTTATGCTGACTGAGTTAGTGTAGAAGATTACTAAACTGGTTTCAGAGTGGTGAAGGTGTACCTTGCTTTTCTGATTCTAGCTGGCTTTGACGTCTTCATCCGTTCCACTTGTAGCTGAAACGATGCTTCCTAGATAACTGAAGGATTCATTGGATGTAAATTACTAATCAAGTAATGTCAGAACTGAATTTTAAACGATATAAAGACTGTCGTTCAAGGAACCGGTATGCAAAAGGCAGTGGGTTAGTTCACTACGGTACAACTGACCTTGTATTCATTCTAACTGTCTTCAAGTTAACAGCACAAAACTATTAAGCTGATGCAGTCATTTTCAAAACTTTAACCACTTTACTGATTTGTTCATTGAGATAACGAGTCCCAAATAGGACGAAATGCACATCCGGGATTCCACTGCTAGTCACCATCCACCAATTAAATTTGTTCCCTTGGTTTATTATTATTATTGGAGTTAGTGTTATCAATTGCAATTTTTCTTCCAATATCTTGTTTCAGGTTTCGGATTTGTCACCTTTGAAAGTGAACAGGCAGCAGAAAAGGTGTGCTCAATACACTATCATGAATTAAATGGTAAAATGGTGAGTCAAAGCATTTTTTAGAATGTGTAGTTAAGTCTCTGGTACACTGTGTTATCCATTTTCCTAATGTATATTATTTAATGATCCAAGCTTTATGCCTGAATCAAAGAAATTGAGGCAATTGTATTCTTATTAAAGACGATTGTTATGTTAGTTCAAAAAGATCTTGGGAGGTATTACGCCTAATTAGTGACCTTATCAACCGGTATCTTTGGTAAAGAAAACATATACAGTTACTCAGTGGCATCTAACTGAAACATGATTCCTATACCAGATGTGAGATCATCACATTCGGCATCAAAGATGTAGGTAACATAGAAATAATTAAAAAATTATTCATAATTCTTGAATACTCCCCCTCTAGGCATTAATGAAAACAAAACACGCAGTTCAGCGAAGAGTCTGTTTTCGGCGGCGAATTCATTTTCTTAGCTGTACAATCGCAAATATATATGAGTTATTTTTTATGCATGTGTACATTTAGTTTGTCAAACAAAATTACAATTGGTTATGGTTATTTAACTAAACAGGTAAAAATCAGTAAGTTTTGGGTAGAGTTACGTAACACGAAAACAGTCAAGGAAATTGGGTTTTAATGAAACTAGAGTAGTGTAACAAGGGTGATGAGTTGTCACAGTTATTATTATTATTCTTGTTTCCTTTAGTTCCTAGAGGAACACGTCTCCATTGAGTTCGGTTCTCCACAAACATTTTCACGTGACTGCCCGTCTGCCCACATGCCTTCATTTCCTCTGCGCATCACCTCCTCCATGTCACCCTCACAATGACAGCAAACTCGCCGCTTCTCATTTGGGTTCCAATCGAGCGACGGCTTGGTTTGTGATGTCACTTGATGGTTTGTGTTTTCAGAGTATGGCCAGCCAATCCACCTCTACTTCTTCCTGCATATTTGTTGCACAATGGTTTCTTCTGGGTTGGTTCGCTCACAGAGATCCCCGTTGCCGATCTTTTCTGGCCGGCCATCTGAACTTGAGCGAAGTATTGAGAAAGATGGTCGTTGACGAAGGTCTGTAGTTTGCCCAAGACGCCCTTCGTGACGCACCAAGTCTCTGATCCGTATAGCAGCACTGACTTTACACTGGAGTTAAAAATTCAGGGTTGTCATAAATAGTTGTTAAAAAGGAGTTACGTAATATTATGAATAGTTTATTGATTGAGTTGTACTCAGGATACACACTGAAACAAAGTAGAGAATACGAAATTACATAATATTTCTAAATGAAAACAAGAATTACAAGCAATTAAAGAAACAAACAAACAAACAAATTAAGTCACTAAAAATCAACAAAGTTGTTGCCGTGGTAATAGAAGTGGTTGATGAATGCTCTTTTGTATGCTTAACTTCGGTTTTTCTATGTGAATGGCTAGAGCTTCAGCGATAAAAAGAAGATGGAACTGTATTGTTTTTGGTAGGTTATTCTTGACTCTGTAGATTAATTTGAAGCGGGAGGCGTTTGTTGAGATGGAATGATCAGTGTGTTAACCAGATGTTCAATTATCTCACTCCTTATAGTACCACTATCATACAAACTAACCCGAAGAAATGTAGATTTTACTAAATTGGCTGACCTGAATAAAACGGTAGATTTAGAAAAAGAAGCTCTGCTTCAGCACACCATGCAAGTGTTATTACAGTTAATACACTTGTTAGTATAAGCTAACGAATTTCCTACCTAGTCGATTCGTGAGCCTTCTGTTCTAATCACTATTAATGACAACAACAAAAACACAACACAATACCATCGAAACCACAAATCAAGAAGACAACAAGAGGAGACCGATCGCTGATGTAGAGAACCTCTACTGCCTCACATCAAGCATGAAAATGTTTGACAGCATTTGCATATTATTGTTATTATTTCCTTTGGTTCCTAGAGAAACATTGGACTTCGGCCACACGTCTCCATTGCGTTCAGTTCTCTGCTAGAATCTTCACCTGGCTCCAAGTCTGCAGACATGCTTTCATCTCCTCTTCACATGACCTCCTCCATGTCACACCACCCTCAAACTGACGACTAACTTGCCGCTTCCATTACGGGTTCCAATCGAGCGACGGCCTGGCGTGGGATGTCACTTGATGATTTTTTTTCCAGAATACGGCCAGCCAATCCATCTCCAATTCTTCCTGCATATTTCTTGCATAATTGGTTCCTGCTGGTTTGGTTCGTTCATTGACAGAGATGCCTGTCACTAATCTTTTCTGGGTGGTCATCTGATTTTGAATGTTGAATGAAGACAGCTGTTGATGAAGATCTATAGTTTGTTTGAGGTGCTCTTCATGACGCGCCAAGTCTGATCCGAATAGTAGCACTGACTTCACATTGCATTTGCAAATTTACATATACTTCGAATGATATTTAGAGACACTGCTTACACTGATAAGTGGAAATGGCCAGCAACCAATAGGGTTCCAAGGTCATATGTGGATGGGAGGGAAATACAACCAGCAGTCTAAAAATAAATGTAGTATTTCAGGAAAATCAGGTCTTTATAACAGTAAGTTACATAAAAACATACAACAGGATGAGATAAAATGACAGTCATAAAATCGAATATAATCCGGTGGAAGGGAGAATTGAAATCTGGGATTTTATTTATCGATTCAAACAGAAAGGATTCAACACCTGTTCCAGACATGTGTAAAATTACACTAACCTTGCAACAAACACAAAAGAAGAAAGAGGATTGATTATTTGACTGTGAACAATAAATTCTGCTCAAGACTTTGTCATCCGGTAAATAATACTGTTTCATTTTGTGATATATCCAATAAATAAGTTAATATGCAACTGCATACTAACACAGGGCTCACTTTTCACACATGTATAAAAACCTCGAAGTCCAAAACAATCATACTTGATTATGAAGCATTTTCAAGACTCACATCCTAGGAATATTATATTATCGAAAGTGATGTATATAGGTATGACCAATGTTTCATAGTACTTTTGTCTGAAGAAATCGTTGTATACAAAACTCTTTAAATATGTCCTTGGTGAGTAAAGTATACGCATTTGACAGGAGGGTGAGTGTTAAGCTCCCAGACCTATATAGTTTAAACTGATGTCAGATAGCTGGAAGCAGTCGACGGGAATCCGTTGATTTAAGTTTCGTTCTTGTCAGCACAGCATATCTGTAACCTTAAAGGGTTCAATGCTCTCTACAAGATTGTCAGTTGAAAGCATGCGATGATCAACTTAACAAGTTTACAAGTTTATTCGTAATTCTATATTATGGTGATATGAGAACTCACTTATGATTACATATTGGAGTGAAAGTTGAGTTAAATTTGAGACAGACATGAAGATGTATGTCTTTACTATTTCGAGAATGAAGCGAGCTAGACAGTTGGAATGATGACTGGATAAGTGGCGGTCCTCAGCTCATATTTCAGTCTTTAAGAAGTTTAATTTTTGGGCGAAGAATGACTGAGGTGAGAAGTGGAGGCGCAGTGAGAGAAAGGCGTTGACAAAGAAGAAAGTCTGAAAAACTGATTGTAATTTGAGAGCCATACTTTTACCATTATTATTTGAAAGTATGAAGTAACTAAGCTGTTTATAGTGATAAAACAAATTATAAAATATTTCTAGATAATCTAGAGTGAGAAAAAGCCACCCTCTCGAAAGGGTTTGCAGTGGAGTGCTTCACCAATCGCCTCTAGCCAACAGACACACTATTTTAGAGTGCACTGTGATGTTGAGTTGCATAGCTAGGTGAAGACACTGTAAACTTGACTGAGAGAATTTCAGTGTCGGTTTGCAGGGATTTCATTGACTGCTGAACTTCATTATGAGCTGATATCGATTACAGGGCTATTGGAAAACCACCTAGGGAGTACTGGATAGCTGTTTCGTCTTAGTTTGGGACGCTTCATCAGTATGCACTCACAACCCAACTAGCGGTTATACTCTCAATTTTCAGGTTGTGAGACCAGCTGACTAACAATTCAGCAACTTCGGCCAGTAGCTTAATGATCTACAATCTCGACTTTTAAACGGAATGTCCCGGGTTCAAACACTAAAGGTGGATGCATGCTGATGAAGAGTCCAAAACCAAAATGAAACGGCTGTTCAGTAGGCCTTTAGGGGTTCCCAGTGGTTCTCTAACAGATGTCAACTCAAGATAAAATTTAGTCACTGACAATACGAAGGAAAAGAAACATGATATAGGATACTTTCGAAAGACTCCTGATGGCACTCTATAAATGTAGCTAGTTGACTTCTTAGATGAGTTAAGTTGAATGGTCATTCTCTGTCCTGTTTCATTCCTTTTATAAAACAGTAAAATGAAATCACTGAAATAAGAATAAAACTTGTGCACTGTGGTATAATATAATTCCATTATGGGTAAAATTTATTTTGATAAAGTCTCACAGTGTTACACAATAATATGACCGTGATGTGATTATGAGCAGCAATAAATTGTGCTCAAAACGTCATCAGTAAATATCACTGTATAACACTGTGAGACTTCATCAAAACAAAATTTACCCATAATGGAAGGTGGAGATGCTCTGATTGAGCATACGCTGAGGACGCCATCGGTGCAGGTCATCATTCTAGTGGAATCCAAATGGGAAGCGACGAGTGTGTCGTCATTGCGAGGGTGACATGAAGGAGATCGTGTAGCGAGGAGGAGATGAGAGATTATAGACAATCATAGGACTAGCCAGATAAAGATGGCAGCAGAAAGTAAAGGAAAGTCGAGACGTGTTGGTAAACCCATATGTTCCACTCAGAACCCAAGGGGATAATAAATAAATAATTACTACTGACCCTTAAAAACTTAACCGTGAAGCCCACAATATTTCTCTCGGAACTTTAAAGGACTAAAATGAAATGAAAATGGGTTGTCGTGGAAACAGATATAATTCACACTGGTACAGAATTATACACGACTCAGTAAAGTATGTTTCTAATCAAATGTTTCTACATAACATTAATTTCATGCTTTCTCCGAAAAATGTTAATTCATGTTTC